GCAGTTGGGAGACAGATCCGTCAGAGGTCGTTGTAGGCAGTCGCCCCTGGTGGAGGCGTGGGAGGCAGAGGAACCCCCACAGTTGTAAGCCGTTGCGTAGCAACCCCGAATTAGTTCTGAGGCAATCGCAGGCCAGTAAGGATGTGAACAAGGAAGCTGAAGATGCTACGCCGTTGGAAGCCGTTACTAGACAATCGGTGAAGATATAGAAAACTGAGAAGACTCAGTGTGTGCAGTAGTGAATTGCAGACTGTGTGAATTAAAGACAGCGCTATAGTTACTTGTAGTTACGACTTGTAAGTGTCCAATAAATCCAATTACCAATCCAACTCCCTTTTATAGTCATTCTAATCACGTAACAATATAATCAGTTTGACCTTGTAAATGAACTAAGGCGTAACAAAATCGATTTCGATTTGGTGAAACCATGTTGATAAGTGTTACGCTTAAACTGTCTGAAACACCATCATGTGTAAGTAAAAAAGAAGAAGAAGAAGAAGAAGAAGAAGAAGAAAGGTAAAGTATCCCTGCAACAGGCCGTGGAGGCCCATAGGGCTGTGAGATGTTGAGGTTCCCACATTTTCTAGACAATCGGCTCATAGATGGCGGCAAGGTTGTCAGCCCTACGCGCCGGCCGGCCGCCCTTTACCCTCAAGAATATTCCTGGTACTCATTTCTGCTAGAGGCTGGGTCGACCCCAGGGCCATAGTGCAGCTGGAAGGATTAGGTCAACTGAAAAAATCCAGTGATCTCATCGGGATGTGAATCCGCGACTTTCTGGCTTGTAGCATAGTGCCTCGACCAACTACGCTACTGCGTGCTCCAGTCATCCCTGTACTTAATGATATACGTAATTAATTAATTAATACGTAATTAAGCATTATGCCATGAAGGCATATGGGGAAATGGAAATACCGGTCCATCATTCCTAACCTCGGCACTAGACAGAAGTGTGTGGTCAGCTTCACGACCCTGCCGCATTATTCCGGGAGATACTGGATACGCTGAGTGGATCCGACAGCCAGCTGGATGCTGTAGAGAAGCAAGAAATCTCTCCCCTGCTTGGAACTGAACCCCAATCAAGTCCGTAGCCTAATCGCTATAGAGAAGAAAAGGTTCCTGATGGAAAACTACTACGAACAGACTGAATATGTTTCAAAAACCTCAGCTGTATCTGAAGGTTTACTTACAAGAATTACATCGACGATACTAATAACAATAACAACATTAACGGTGTAGTAATAAGCTAAATGAAAGCTTTTGTAACTGGCTATTCCAGCCACGCTCGATTGTAGCGCCCAGGTATAACGCGGGGAAAACCCAAACTAATTACAAAACTCTATTATAGGGACATTTCTAGGATGCGAAATGGCTTTAATCGCCATATGGCCAGCGACATTCATCTAAACGATTTTAACGTAAAGGAGAGGCAGGAAGGGAGGAGGACAAAGAGTAAAAACGGAATAAAAGAAGGGGGCGCAGACACCGTTTTATTAATATGAAACCGAAAGGAGAAGTTAAACGAAAGACGACAGGAAGAAGAAATAAAGGGGACCAGGTTGTGATACTAGAAGAATAAAGGGTGGAGGGGGAGAGGGACAAAGATACGATTCCTTTTTTAGACTTCACCTGCGCATGCGGAACAAAACATGGCCAGATGCGATTCTTAACTAGCATGTATTACTGCGCACCCACCATTGTGTTAATATTTAAATTAACTGTATTTAATTGCTAAACGACGACAAATGACGAGATCTTCTGCGTGGGATGTGGTCCTCACGGCGGTTATTATGAAGAGCAGACCCATTTTTCATCCTCTGAGATGTAACGCCGTGAAGTTTGATAGAAGTTTACTGACATTTCGGAAGAACATTCCATTTTAACTTCCTAACAGCTGTACTACCACCACTGTTACTACTACTACTGCCACTGCGACTAAAGTAAAGTTGTCGCTGTGCTTACCTAATTAAGCACTACGCCATGAAGGGGCATGGGGGAATGGATGTATAGGTCCACATATTCTTGACCTCGACACTAGTTGGAGGTGGGTGGTCAGCTTCACGTCCTTGCCGCTTTACACCCGGGGAAAGAGCCCAAGTACCTGTTGGATAGGAGGCTGGGTGGGCCCCAGAGCCGGTCTCGACGACGTGGAGCAGTGAGGATTCTTGACCCTACTGGGACTCGAACTCCGACCCCTCGGTTGTCCAACCCGTAGCAAATAACTATACCGACTGAGCTACACCGGCTCGCCACACCAATTATTATTATTATTATTATTATTATTATTATTATTATTATTATTATTATTATTTTCACACTGTTTCAATTTTACCGGCACCCAAACGGATCACTCTGTATACAAGTATATCGTCGAATATAGGGCGTGGAATTACGGGGTCCTGGTCTAATTTTGGATACTACTTACCATCTGTGTGGCTGGATCAATAATACCAGGAAAATCCTCAGTCAAGATACATCCGGGATTCGAAACTCCGATTTCTTACATGCGATGCAAAAGTGCTAACCACTACACCACGACTTTCCATAACAGTTCACGGCAAACTATACCTTGGAATTCACTTGGAAGGGCATGGGAAAACTGCGAGAAAAACGCAGTCATAAAACAGATAACCTGGCAGGATTCGAACCTACCTAACTCGAGTTGCCACTGCCCGGTACCGTCTACCAACAAAACACACAAACTCCGTGGCTATAGTCTGCAAGCGAGCTATACCGACCGAGCAACCGCCGCTTGTCGGCCAAGTTAGTATCAACTTTAGCGGATAGAGGGTTTCGCGTGGTCAGCAAAACGGATCCCCACGGCCGTTAATCTCAGTTTTCTAGACCGAAGCCGCTACTTTTCCATTCAAGTAGCTCCTCAATTATCTCACGAGGCTGAGTGGACCTCGTTCCAGACCCACTACTTCTCAGAAAATCTGGTAGCGCCAGGAATCGAACCTGCGACCTCTGGATCTGTAGCCAGGAACTCTGACCATTAGACCAGAGATACGACGGGTTTGTGACGACTCATCTGGGGATGAGAGAAGGGGAAGCTATAACGGTAGGAGATTAGGTTGTGAATACAATGCAACGTCTCTGGTAGGGGCTGAATTATAGGTCTGCAATAAAATTTACAGCGATACTACCCCACAATTCCATTAAAATGTTATGGTTGGTGCCTCGTGGTCACAGTACTATATTCTCTATCTCAGTGGTGATCAACCAACGGTTCGCAAACTGGCGCCGGTCCAGTATCTGACGTCTACAAGCATATCTGCAAGCAAATTATTCATATATCGCGTCAACACGAAATAAAACGCCAAAGTTCTGGAGAGTGAACTGATCCCTAACAACAGGAACATACATTCTTGGTCACGATAGGCCTTTCAGGGTCAATATTCAACATTCAACTAATTAAACGCTACGCCATGATGGCGTATGGGGGAGTGGATGTATAAATCCAAATTTTATTGACCTCGGCACTAGTTGGAGTGATCAGCTTCACGCACCGTCCGCTTTACCTCCGGTATCCACTGGACAGGAGGTTCCGTGGACCCTAGAGCCGGTCTGGACGACGTGGAGAAGAGAAAATTCTTGACCCTACCGGGACTCGAACTCCGATCCCTCGGACTTCCAGCCCGTAGCCAGTCGCTACACCGACTGAGCTATCACGGCCCCAAAAGACATTCAACAAAATACAAAAACTATAGCCTCGTCCAAATGCTGCAGTACAGATCTTTAAGCCCACAGTGGGAACAAAATTAGCTTCACGTTCGATTACATCCTGGGATATGTTAATCTGGACCAGAAAGTAACAGCACACATGCACAGAAATTGGAAAGATTCGCTTGTGAGTGTCACAAGGTGAGTTCAGGGTATCGCTACTTAACAGGACAGGGCATGGAAGATTTTTTTGTTCAAATCAGTACAAATTTCCGAGTTAATGTACGAGTATAACGCCTTCAGTGCCAATTTAAGGCCAAAACCTGGCCGCATACTGAAGTTGTCGCAGGGAATACAGAGGCCGCTAAGAGAAATGCCACAGATGGTATGGATGCCAGCGCTCCTGTTAACAGTAAAATGGTATACGTTTCATGTGTACTGCCTGTATAACTGCAAAAGGTCAGTCTGTCACACTGTTTCTCCCAAACGGTGCACCACAGAAACAATGATAAATACAAAACATGTTCCTCTTGGAGAGCCACCCAGGGGTAAGTTATTGGTTTTTTCTATATCGAAAATCAGGCACAGGGAGTCACATGTTTCTCCCAAATGGTTCATCCGTAGAACAAACAAGTTTAATATAAGAAACGCTCCTCCTTGTGCGCTATCTTCAGAAAAATAACTGATATCTATGTCAATAAAGGGGTGAGGGGTGCCCAAAAAACTAACACGACATACACTCTCAAATGTTTCTCGTCTTATGAATAACCTTAAACTTGTCCAAGTATTATGTTTTTGGACATTATCCATCGTCTTGTCTATTTTTTTTAAAGTCCTGTTTCTTTTTTAAAACACGTTTCCGAGACTGGATTCTGTTCCCGTCCTCTCCGGAGATAGGGGCTAGCTCTATCTATTGGACCCAACTGAGTAGGTTTTACCTGAGGACGTTTCAAATGTACGAGTTAAATTATATGTAATAATTACTGGTATGAAGGGTCATTTACTTTCAAGTTTTAATTTAGACTAGTAAGAACTTTTGAACCCTGCCTAAACGAAACTGATTCCGAGACATAAAACTAAGGATACATTTCGTAAATCCCAAGAGAATGAAGCCCTAGAAAACAAGAATCGGACTATCGTAAATTCTAAGAGCACAATACTCTCAAAAATCCACCCACACTCACGCACACTGTTCAAGGCCCCTTCATTGATTTATGCTGCTGGACAATCTATACAATTATTTCAAAAGAGAACACGTTTCCTGACAAACTTGAATCAGCAGCCCCTACTGTGTAGGTAATGTACTCTACAAAAGTTAGATTGGGATCTTTACTCACCTATTTTGCAAGAGATTTTATAGCTCTTTTTCATCCACCCTTTCTTACAATTTCAATCGATTGTTAAGTTTTCTTTTTTGTTTATCAGGTTCACATACGTCCTTTGATCATTAAACACCACCAAGAAACTATAATACAACACACTCCATTCATACGCAGCACACCACAAACACAGAACACTTCCGATAGACCCCTCTTGATACTGGGTTGGTTGCACTTCACAGAATTATTACATGTTAAGGAACACAAAATGGTAGATCAAACAAGTGAACCTGCGAATTTTAATCAAACGAATTGGAAATATTAAGGGAAATGTTCTCTCAGTGGAATTTTCATTTCTTAAAATCTCTTTCTTGTTACCACCTTCCACGATTTATTTCACCAAGTCCGCCTACTAACACGTACTAGTAGGACGGACAACTGACAGCACAAACACCAGCCTTGCGAGTTACTGACTACAGCGTCTCAACGCGGTTATTCTGTGAACCATAAACTTAGTCTATCTCCCCTCTCCCGCCCCCCCGCCTAAATGTTAAATCAATGCAACTGGACACCAACATTACAAAAATTATGTTCCCAATCCAACGCAACCACCGCAACCACTGAGTTGGTATTCAAGAGGGGAAGTTGGAGTTGATTTGTGTACGTGATTGTAAGATGTATACGAGATGATCGTAACGATCGTAACCAAAGATCGTAACCATCGTAACGGTCTAACTGCAGAATGAGAAGTTATGGCTAACGATACATAGCTTCTGCGATCATGACCATAGTAATACGATACGCGTATGAGTATGAATTTTTAATTTAGATGAAAGAATACAAAAACAAAAGCATGAGGATGTACATGGAATGCTATGTGATAGCACAAAGAATATGAAATGTGAACCTGCAGAATATTGCAGTTAAAAGGGGGAAAGTATCCGGCTGCAACAAAATTATGACAACATGGAATGAACTACTTCAGTCCAATAAAAAAGGAGCACTTTCCTTGGGAGTACATTGGGCGGAGTCGTGGTACTGGTATATCACCATATAGCACGACGTTAATGCGTCCACAATACCATAGTTTTCGGTGGTATGCTTAGTTGCGCACAGGGACAGCTTTACTTTTCTGGGGTTTAAGATTTTCACAGCCGTGGTTCTGTCTTCTATATCCTAGATGATAGAACTGCTTTATCGTTGACACTGATCTTATTTCGGGGTAAAGTGCCATGTGGTTTGGCCTATTTTGCCTGTGTTTCTGAGGAATATGCAGTGTCCATCTTCAGGGTACAATATTATGCTCTGCTACTGGTAAGCATATTTGGTTGAGGCACTGTGCTACAAGCTGGAAGGTCGCAGGTTAGATTCCCGAGCCCACTGGATTTTTCAATTTACTAAGTCCTTCCAGCCACGCTACGACCCAGGGTTTGACTCAGCCTCTAAAAAAATGAGTACCAAGAACATTCTTGGGTTAAAAGGCAGGCAGTGCATTGGGCTGACCTCACTGCCATCTGTGAGCTGTCTAGAAAATGTGGGAGCCTTGACATCTCACAACCCTACAGACCTCCATGGCCTGTTACAGGGACAGCTTTACCTTTTTATTTTATTGGTAAGATCCATTTCTGTGACATCATCCCAAAACAGGGTTCACATCACCATCCACTTAGAAGCCCTATTTTTTATTGGGTCTTCTGTATAATAATAATACATTACACTGCTGCTTTACCATAATACAGTACAGCTGAGTAAAAAAGATGTCAGCACCTGTGCAAACATAGATACACAGGACTTTTTGAGTTTTGCAGGTATTGGACAGAACTTGTGCCCATTCAGTTAGATGGCTACAAAACTGCACAGAATGAATATGAAGAATTCTGCCATGATTTTTTTCCATTCATATGGAAAATTTCAAGAACCAGACAAATTTTGAAGTAGTAGAGTTGGTAGGTAAGAACTACAGTTAAGAACCTACCCCTGATACAAACAGTACAGATAGTAAAGTAAAAGTAAAGTTATCCCTGTAACAGGCCATGAAGGCCCTTAGGGTTGTGAGACGTTGAGGGTCCCACACCATCTAGACAATCGGTTCAAAGATGGCAGTAAGTGTGTCAGCCTTACACACCGGCCACACTTTACTCCCCAGGAAAATTATTTAATTAATTCATGGTACTCATTTCTGTTAGAGGTGGAGTCAACCCCAGGGCCATAGCGCAGCTGGAAGGATTAGGTCAATTGAAAAAATTCAATGATCTTTTTTTTTTTTGATTTGTTTCATTCTGGTCCGTCACACTAACAATTACAAATATAAATCACTCCGTCCAATGTGACCTGTAAGTTTTTTACTACTTGAAAACTCAACACCCTTACATGTTTCGGTCTCTGTGAAAACAGCACAGCAGCCACGAGCAAAGCCTGGACGATATAAAGAACCTCCACATCAAGATAGCCAGGTGGCACAATATCTGCCCCATATATGAGGGACGATGGGAGGACGAACACGAGCCTGCATGGTTTACGAATTTTAATTACTGACAATCCAAAAAATTTTTAATTAGCATCAAGAAATTTTATACAATCTTATAAAAAACTTTAGATTCCCAGGAAACTGCTGTGTTTGTGAAATGTTCTATTTTGTGTACTATGTATTGTAGCATATAAGTGTACGTACTTTACGTCTAAACAACTTGTGTGATGGTGGTTTCCTATTTGTAGTTATGTTTGCCCTCTGAAGATGGTCCACAGAGACCGAAACATGTAAGGGTGTTGAGTTTTCAAGTAGTAAAAAACTTACAGGTCACATTGGACAGAGTGATTTATATTTGTAATTCAATGATCTCATTGGGACTTGAACCCGTGACCTTCTGGCTTGTAGCATGGTGCCTCAACCAACTACGCTACCGCGTACCCCCTATTCAATCAATTATAACTTGAACAATTTCAACTTTTTTGTGGTTTGATTATCACTATGTATAATTTCGTTTTATGACTGTTCCATATGTGACTGAGTTCTATTTTATGAACTGTTCTTGTATATATGTTTCAATTTAATAGTGACTTCTTCTACATCCTAGGCTTGGCCAAAAAATTATTTATTGAATTTAAATTAAAGAATGAGAATAGAAAACTTGAAGGTTTTTAAAAATAAATTAAAAAGTTATTCATTACAGAACTGTTTTTACTCTTTACAAGAGTTTTTTTAGTAACAATGATAGATGGTAGTTTGGTAATTTGAGTTAGTTTCAATATGATACAGAATTATATACATGGTCTCTGGACTGTTATCTTCACTAAATGTGTGATGCTTTGTTTAACATGGCTGACTTATGTTTTTGGTAGTTAACTATACTCATTGATTTATACTGAACTGCTGGAAGTTGTCATCCATGGTTGGTAAGCTACAGCAAGGGAATACTGATCAAAAAGGGACTGTATTTTAAATTGTCTTGTATAATGTTTTCTACATTTTTTAAGAGGTGCTGACATTTAGTGTTTGGTTTTTTTTCAACTGACTCGTCCAATTGTGTCTGTGTAACAGTTATGCCTATTAAAAGTTATCAATTATCCCACATCAACAAAATCTAAAGGACCTTCAATAGAACATCACACAAGTGATGATTAAAAACTTCAACAAAGTACTTTTTCTGTGCAATACTTCTCACTTAGAGTTATGTCCTCCTAACGATCATTTAGATTGATAAAATGAGTTACTGGGATGATAAAACTATTTAGAATTATTTTAAGTTTTGGCTAACTTTATATCAGTCCAAAATGTGCCGCTATGACACTGAAGAATAGTTAATGCAATTCATGCTGATATGCTCTGTGAGGTAGTTTCACTATTTCAAACCCTCATGCTGGTTTCTTGATGGATCTGATGATGGCAACATGGATAATGTAACTTGGGATGGCATAAATATTTAACAAGGACACTAAAAGCCTCCTGCTTTAGACACTGTAAATCAGCCATGAGGTAATTAATTTCTAATTACAACTCATCGACTGTGCCAACAGAGGTCACTATTTCATTTGTAGCCAAGTTGCTTTGCCTGTTGCGATCAGATTCAGTAATCTGTATTGTTCTTTATTCACTGAGAAGAATTCGTGGAATACTGCCATGCTAAGGGCTTGAATATATTCCTAATTTATTCTGAAATTTTCAATATATTCTAATGTTTTAATGTACGCAGAGTCCTAGAATGGTCACATTTGTTGCACTGCAAGAATTCTGTACTTACAAACTAAAATAGGATCCATTACTTTGAGGCAATGCATTCAAAATTGTGATTCCTTAAATTAATTTCCCATGCGCACATATGGTTCATCTAATGCATTATCGGTTGTTTATATCTGTTGTCACTAAAACTGAATATTTGTTTGTCCTCTATTTTTTTACCAGAAGATAACATTTCCTTAATTTTTTATCGTTTTATTTTGATTTCTTATATGTTCACAAGTGTGTGAACCAGATGTCACATTTTCAACTGATTTATTAGCAGTATTTATATTGCAACTTCTGCCTGTATTTGGGTGATGAGACACGAAAATATACATTTTCCTGTTTATTTATATACCAATATCATTACTAGCTTTCAGAAGAGTTTCCATTTTTCTTTATGCTATTTATATGAAACATACAGGGAAAGGCAAGTTAAGTGGCATCTTCATTCCTTTCCCCTTGGCATCCACTGGTTCCTGTCATTTTACTCCTAGTCCTAGTTCTGAACCTCACACCTCTGTATCCTTACCATTTCCCTCTGTGTGCCTTAGTCTTCTACCAACGAAGTGTCACAACCCAGAAGACTATTATAATCTTCATACTCAACCTGAAGTCTAAAAAGGGATGTCTGATTTCAAACTCCACTGGAAAATGTCTTCACAGACACATTGCTAAGATCTGGATTCTGATAGCAGGGAGTTGTTGGCTCACAGGCTCTCTGTATCACTTCACTGTGGACTGATTACAAAACACCATCCCAATCAGTTCGACTCTTGTGAGTGTACCCAACGGGTTGGTTCTGATGTGCCCACATGGCTGTTAAGAGATTGGTATTTGACACTGCCCCATGATAGATGCCTCAGTAACCATTTCTCTTATTGCGCAATATTTTTACTTCTAGACATCATGTCACATCATTTTACATTTATGGACAGGACTTTGCTTCATTTCAACTGAAAGGTAGTCTGGGTATAACTTTCATAATAAAACATGACTGATGATATAAACCACAAACAATGCATGCATCCTGAGATGCAACAACACAGTTACTGTATAGGTACCTGGTTTACATCTTGGCTGTGCCTTCCTGAGATCCTTTTTGTGATTGTTCTGTCTCTCTCAGAATTTATCATAACAGTACCATAAAAAATACATTTGCCTCTCCAAATCCTTACCTATTCTCCATTCAAGATCATTTCTTTCATCTTATGTTATGACATGTAACTTCTGCAGTGGATAC